AATTAATTAAAAATATATTTAAAATATGCTCTTACATTAATTTATCACTTTTAGCGTTCTTAACACTTAATTGTAAGTTTTGAATATCTCTTGTATCCCTGTATATTTCTACCCCCAATAGAATTGCTTGTTATACACATACGAGTACATGTGATTTTATAAATACTTACTTCAAGAAATTATATAGTTATAAGTACAAAAATAGTAATATACATGTACGTACGTATATCTCACGTATTCCGAATAATGTTTACACTAGATTAATAGAAAGCACAAAATGCAAGTTCTGAATAAATGCATATACTTATTTACACAATATAAATTATAATTAAATGACTTAATTCTCACTAATTTATAATCGTTATTATATTCAATAGTACTTATAATTGCTGCATATAATATTTAAGTGAGAAGAGATAAGAGTGTAGAAAATAACAAAAATAATATTTTTTATTTATGTTATTTTTACTTTATAAGTATAAATGTAAATTTTGCTGATAATTTTTATCTGTTAAAAAACACCTTTAATTTAGAACCCGTAAATAATAATAATAACAATAAGTATACGGGGAAGATCTTAAATTTGAAATTCACAAAATAAAATCAATTTATTTCTATTCGCGAATTTAGTTTTTAAGTGAAGCTTCCGGTTAAAATGAAAATATGGTCGTATATTTTAATAAAATATTAAAATAATTTCTAAAATAAATTCCCCAGACATTGTTCTATTTTTCATTCAAAAATTTATTGTGCAAGCATATTGACTAATTCCGACGAAATTTTTTTTTTTGTGTTTTTAAATTGTTGTTGAAAAACAAATATTTTATTTATTAATTTATTTATATTGTTATAATTTATTAGTTGACACTAAATATAGCTTTAAAGTAATAATACCCTATCACCTCAAGCGATGCATTTAACAGAACTTAACGGAATATGGGTGATACATTGTATTAAATTATGTGAGAAATAAAAATATTTCATAGATCCTATAATAAATTTTCGTGTCTAATTAGTATTTTAGTATGATTGCAAATAAAATTTAGTTTTTAGAATACATAGTTAGGCTATATACACTAGAATCATTATATCACTTAATAATATTCAATCACATTATGCGGTAGTTATTTAAAAGCGGTTTCTGCATGTTTAAGGACAGTAAATTTAATATTTTTTAAATATTAAAGAACATGGGTACCCCCACCAATAACTCTCACATAATATATTAATAAAAGCCTATAATAAAATACTTTTTAAAATTTTAATAATATTATTCAAGATATGAAAACTAATAAAAATCGTACAAAAATTAATTTATATAAGTATACGTAGGTATTTATATGGCTAAAATTTCCAAAAATTTAATTTAAATTTCATTTTATTTTAATTTCAATGACCTTCAAAAATCGTGTCTGGTTTTGATAACAATAAATAGAAAAAAGTATTGCGATAAGAACTTATAAAATAAAAAAATAAAAAACAAATAAATTTTAAGTTGATCTCGTGAGCTTGGAGATATTTAAAACTGTTTCAGAGAAAGTGAACTAGAACTAGACTAAAAATGTAGGCCACAACTAGGCAGCGTTTACATATACAACATTTTTAAAGGAATTTATTTGATATGGTAAAAATTTTTATATTGATACCACATTAAATTTTCTTAAGATTTTATAAATGTCAATATTTTATTTTGATGCCTTTCAAAACGTCATTTAAGTGTAATGTGTCAACATTTTTGTAATATATCAGCGTTTAATATTGAAAATATTTAACATTAATAATTGATTTTATAGTTTCGTGGAGTTTGAAAATTATTTCGTCATTTATTAAAGTTCATATTTCATTATCATGGCCAATTGTTCATTGCTTTGTAGTTTAATGGAGACCACAGTTAAGATTAAATATGAAAATATCAAATTTAGCTTATACTTACATGCACATTTTTATACCAGTACTAACGTATGTTAAATTTGATAGTTGAAATTCTTTGACTAGTGGTGGAAGCTGCTATACAATCTTTACAAAACTAATAAAATCTTTAAGATATTATTAGTTTAAGTGATAACTGTCATAAAATAGCACTATACATATAAAAAAAACTAGGTTGTATGAGAAAGTGCGGCAGTTACACAACGCACATGTCATTCGTACGGGTATCGCAAAGATGACACACTCAACTGCCCCTGTTCTCGTTAATTTTTTTTTGTTAGTAATATCCCTAATATTATTTTAGGATTATATGTACAAATTTCAATGTTTTTGCATTATAAATGGAGACCTTATTTCAATATACAATATCAATAGACAATTCTCAAATTACTTACTAACAGTTTAAGAATCTAGAAATTCAAGTAATTTAAAATATTTTTGCAAAAATAAACTGTTATACATAATATATGTATAGTAAAATAAATGAAAAAATAAAAGGATGGAGGGATAAGTGATAAGGTTAAATAAAGTATAATATAATTAAATTTCTCTATACAAACAAATACATTTATAATTTTCTCTCATACTTGACGCTACAAGTGATAAATTTAATCAAATATAAATATAATAAATTTAATTTGTTTTTTGCAAAAATTTATTATTTTGCGGAAAATGAAATTTTTATTTAACATTTTTGTTTTATAAATATGAAAGTAATTGTATAATAAGAAATAAATTTATATATAAAAATATATGTAATTATAAATTTAATAAGTAGATGTTTTTATTTCCTGATGTTCTTTATTTCAGTTTGTTGTGTGTACATTCGGAAAAAAATAAATTAAAGTCAAATATTATCGACCGAAATTTTATAAAAATAAATTTTATTTTTTATAATTTTTTTTTTTTCTGAATTTTCGGGGGATTACTATAATGATGATATTCTCACCGAAAAACAAATCATTGGCCTTTAAAATATTGATATTAAATTTTGCATATATATTTAACCATATAAATGTTTTGAAATGATTGAAGCATAATGCGCCACAATATGTTTTAAGAAGGAGTTTTTGACATATGACAATTGACACTATGAAATGAATATAGATAAGGTACAAAAAATTATGTGTTCATCAAATATTATACAAGGTCGATTTTAGTAACAAATTTTGAATATTACAATTAATGTCTAACAAAATCAACTTCTTAATTACTTAAATAAGTCTGTTTTATTTAGCGTTATTAGTTAATTATAAAAATTAAATTCCAACAATGTAATTTTTTTTTCCTTCTTCACTCCTATAAGGAGTATAGGGCTAGTGCATGATATCTATCATGCCCTAGTTTCTATAGTCATAGGGAGTTAGCTAGGTAGGTGACTAGCCTACCGTACCAACAATGTAATAGTTCAGATTAAAACAAACTCAATAAACGCTTAGAAAAAAGATCTATTAAAACATTTTGATATTTTAAGTAATTTCTATATAACGCATTACTTAATAAGTCCGTAGGATGACATATAGATGGCAATAAAAATACCGAATCCTTATGGTTTTTAGAAAGTACCAACCTCCAAATGATATCTGTTAAAGTTTGATGTCATTCGGACCATTACTTAGCAAGTTATTTATAAATTAAAAATTCCAAGGTTAATCTAATTTATTCTCCGTCTACATATAAATATTAGCTAAGATTTCGAAATTCCATCGAAACAAGATAAACAGTGGCTCAATGCATTTCAAATGTCCATGTCTCAAAATCGTTCCAGCGGGAAAAAGTGGGTTAAAATATTCAATTAAAAATCGCATCAATGCAGACTAGACCGTACGAATGTAGACGTATAGAAATTGATGATGAAGTTGAATTGTTTGATGATGAAGTGTGTTTTTGTTTTAAAAATTAAAATTGAAGAAGTTGCTTTTTTAACTTGAATAGACCACTCTTTTACACGTAACAAGTAAATTTATAAAATAATTGATGTCCTTGAATTATCCTTTAAAAATAATGTAATTTTAATTTTATATTGTATACATATATAAATTCATTATTGATTAATGTTCGGTATAATTGCATGAATTAGTAACGATTCACATGCAAACTTTTGTGACGTAAAAATTGTTCTTTAAATAAAATATAAAAAAATTATTTTACAAGTTATTTTCATGCTTATTTATTTTTATTATTTAATTATAATCACATATATGTGCATAAAATATATTCTAGTTTAGAAATTCATTCATTCCCCATATGATTGTGTTTTAAGGCTATTGATAACTCTCATTAAGGATGTACATAAAATATTATGTACATGTATTTAAATATCTCTCTTATATAAAATAGATAAGAAACACAGGAATTCATTCATAAAAATGAATGGTGAAAATTTTTTTTTTGTATAAAAACTATTACGTATTATAAGCATGTGTACATATTGAAAAAAAAAATGATTTTTATTGTTATATTTGAACGTGGGCTACTTGTGTCACACATTGTACCACGTATAAAATATTTTCTTGTGATATGACAACCGCATAATGATTCAGTTTGTGGTATTAAAAATGTGTAGGTTTTATTGAAAGTGATTTTTTAATATACAAATTGAATTGAAAATATATCAGACCGGATATATGGAAAAATGCAAATATCAATACATAAACTACACATGTGTGTGTGTAATTTTCAACGATATATTAAAAAGGATCTCTTTAAATTTAATAACCACAAGTTGTTTAAAAGAACAATTTAAAAATTTTATTTTACGGATTTTTAAATTATAAGAATGCTCTTTGACAAAGTATACATTTTGTTGTCAAGGTTTTTAATATTAAATATAAAGTTTTTAAATAAAAATAATTAAATTATTTGGAAAAAATTTTTGTATAAGGAAATCTGCATGTTAAAATTTTCAAAAATTTTTTTATATGAATATTTTCGATTTAAATTTTATATATGTAAGCATGTTGTTTTTTCCTGCATTTTCTTTGTTTTATTGTATTTAATTATTGAATTTTTTTTGTTATTGTTAAGATAGAAATAATAATTTTTTTTCTTCTTTATTTTATATTTTCTAGGTATCGTAGTTTAGAATGATACCAAGTTTTCACGAATTAATGAGGTGTTCCTCGAGCGTATTAAAAAATGCCCCTCCTGGAAACGAAAATATTCAGGATGATAACACCGCTACGTGTTCAGGTAAGATTTTATTTACTGTATTATAATTGTAAAATAATTTAAATTTTTAAAAGAATTCCTTATTCTTTTATGTAAAGAAAAAAATAAGCGTTGTTTTTTTTAATTAATTTCTAAGAATATCGAAAAACTATCCTATACTGCAATACTCGTAATCCGATTCAATTGAATTTCTCGAGGATTTTTTGAAGGATTTTCATTATATATATGCCCGAACCAAAAGCAAGATTTTATTTTAGAGGATATTATAATTATTAGAACTATAAGAACTGTAGTTACTGCAGTTCAGTGAAATCAAATCCATTAAACGGATCAAATATTTTGTTCACATTTAATTTTTAATTTAGAACAAAGGCGGTTCTATTGATTAAATGTACGTATTGTAAAAAAACCTATTGTATGTATTTGAAAGTAACTTTCCGTTTCCTCATAAGTGTAATGAAGTGATCGGTGACTCTAAAAATAAAATTTTCTGCGAATCTGTAAATATCATTTTGCTCAGCCGTTATTCAGTATTCTTATATGTAAACGTTGAACGTTATTCTTAACTATCTTAATCAATTCTTAACTATCAAAATCTTTGAGTCATACTTGAAGCTTTAATACTAAATTCTGATTTTTTAAATCTAAAAGAAATCTAAAATCTTGAAGCTTTAACACTAAAATCTGATTTTTTAAATGTAAAAAAAAACTAAAATATGCAATATGAAAAGAAACTCAAAGAATGCGTAAAAGTGTAAAAGCTTTTTGCTTATTGTTGAAAAAATTCATAATACAAAATTGAAAAAATTTCTTTGAAGTATTGTTGAAATGTTTTCGCCTAAATATATGCAATTTTTTATTCATTAAATTAAATCATTACGTTTATTGAAAATCGTATAAGACTTGCAATAAAATTTGAAATACAAAATTGTAATTTTAAAATTCTTTAAAATATTACGAAAACCATTTATTTTTACTCTTTTATAGGGCATGTAATGCACTTTAAATTTAAAAATTACTCGAAAAACCTTTAATACAAAAATATGTATTTGCTGTTCCAATTTTATATGAGTACGAAATTTCTTAAAGCATTTCTATTTCATTTCACTGTTTCCTCTTTAATTTTAAAATATTTAAATAATTTTAGCAATTCTTGAGTAAAAATTGTGAGCTGCACATCCTGTACATACACACACTTATTACGTACATACATATATGTGAGTACTCATATATGTATGTATATGTTGTGTACGTAGGCACAATTTCTTAAATTTATTCCATCTTTAATGTATTGCAAAATTTAAATTAATGTTATTTTCCAATATAATCATTATGTCGCAAAACAAAAAAAAAAAAATTTTAAATTAAAAAATATGGAATAAATTTATAAAATTTTGATTTCCATGATTTCACAGCACAAATTTAATAAATTGAAAATTGGAGCACATTCTAATTTAAGTGTGCTATGAAAACTAAGTGCAAAATGCTATTATTGTATTTTAAAATAAAACAAAATTATTTAAAAAGAAATCGTTTTACCATAAATTATTAAAATGAAATGCAGAGAATTAAATGAATTGCATAAAATTGAGTAAAATATAATTTATATTTGTATATGTACATACATAATATATGTATGTTCTTGATTGAAACGTATCAAAAAATGAGTAATCATGTAGGAAAATTAATTTATATGATGGAAAAATGTTATGAATATATGAATTGGTACATTATTGTATTAAATAGAGGTTGATCAAAGATAGAAAGGTGTTAATTGATTTTAATTTTGAATATTTTTTATTATTCCACTTAAAGTTTAATTTTGATTATATGCAATACAACACCATTTCGTTGAAACATCACGTCTATAAATGAATTCAAAATTCTTTTTGAATTTTATTTATAAAATATTTGAAACCTTAATTTGTTACCCCTTTACTCTTCAATGTGTTTAAGAAATTCCATTCGTAAACAGTATAACTTAGCATGTTTACAAAACGAATGGTAAAAGAAGTAATGACTCCTATCGAGTAATTAGAATTATTGTCGCTATTACAATTAGAAACTGAAGCATTCAACCGCAAATATTTTAGGGTTTTTTATACTTTGATTGATCAACTTTCATCTTTTATGATTTTCCTATTTATTAAAATTTAAAAAAACAAAATAACTAAAATAAATATTTTTTTTTTGGTTTTGTATTACAGGTAGGGGCGATTGTTTGAATGGTACATGCTTATGTGAAATACGTTATAGCGGTGATGAATGCACTGGTTTTAATTTACCCTATCATGCTGGCATATCGTCAGTATTTTATTTTGTTGCTTTAATATCATTAATACAACTTTTAATATGCATTGTTGCTGAATATCAACGTTTAAAACAACCATCAATATTAAGAGCATGTCGTATAACAACACAAAAACTTTTATATTTTGTTATATTTATAGCAGCATTAGTACGTGGAGCTTACTTTACAACACCTGTAAGAAAATTTTTTTTAATAATTTTTATTTTTAAATTTAAAAATTTATAACCAAAAAAAAAATTTTTTTTTTTTATTGTATATAGGAAGCATTACAACCAGGATGGGCAGTTACATTAATGTCTGCTTATTATCCTTTATTAATGACTTGTTCGTCATTAGTTGTATGTTTATGGGCAGAGGTAAGTTTAATACAAAATTATTTTATTTTAAATTTTATAGTTTAAAAAATTTGATAATCGATTTAAAAATTTTTTATAATACGAGTATATGAATTCATATTAATAGGCATTTTAGTTTTCAAAACATGAACAACACATATCATACATTCGATGTTATAGTTTGAATGTGATTGTAATACAAACCTGAAGTCATGTAATTTGTAGTAATGCAATGTCGCTCAGGACCTTTAAACCAATTTTTATTTACTTTGACTATTTAAAATTACATAATATGAGACGTTTAATTTTTTCAAAATTAAGTTGCAAATCAAAGTTTATCATATTGTTCTCACAAAACGAACATGTTATTTTACTTTCATGATAATTAATTTTTCATTCAATTTATACACATAAATTGAAAATTTATTCATAACAAAATAAAATAATTGTATTTTATAATAAACGTACTTACATATTATACACATTAACGTATAAGACATAATATGAATGAACTTTATAAACACGTCATGAATATAATGGGCGTTTTTAACAGTCTTAATGACATATATAATGCATTTTTATATTGAATTTTAAATAATAGACTTGCTATAATTTTAATTTAATATTTGAAATATATTATTAATGTTATTAATTTCACAGTTATTTTTCATTAACTTCAATTTAACAATAAATTTTAATAGTTAATTTCATATCTGAACTACGTATTTAAGTTATTGCTATATATATGTACATATATATAATGGTTAAAACAGATGTCAATTTTCCAATTTTAATATTACAAGCAATAATATAATGAATACTTTAGTACATATTTAATTTATTTAACTAAAATTTCAACAATATTTGAATAGTTTCAATTACTTAAATTATTTATAATACCATCAGTTTCGTGTTAATGCTAAGCTCTCTAAGTCTTTGTAAATGAAATTACAAGCAAATTACTTAATAAATGATTAAATACAAAATTATATTTAATTTTTTTTTTTGATGTAGACAACTCAAATATTTATGAAATATTTATTTATGCATGACTATATTCAAGTTTTCTTTCAACTAGGACGAAATTACTAGTTCTTATTGATAATTGTATCATACCTTTATTATTTTTATATAATATGATTATTTTTCAAATTAAAAGTTAAACGAACTCATTAAATTAAATCAAATAAATTTGTTTCAATATTTGTAAAGTTTATTGACACATTTACATCATTGATCAATCAAGGATTTTGAATATCACAATTAACTTAATAATTTATTATTGGAGAAATGAAAAATTTAATTTGAATATTTCATAAATAATGTTATTAAAATTTGATCAGTCGCATTACAGCAATTGCATTTGTTAATAACGCCACTTACGTGTATGAAAGTTTTGCGATAAAATTAAATTTTGTGCTGAAAATGATTTACAAAATAATTATATGTTCCTTTCATATTTATTCTATTATAAGTTTTAAACTATTCCTGAATTCCAAGACATTACTTTTGGTAGTTAATACATTTTTATAATAAAACTTTTTGTTAAATTGCTTTGTTCCTTTAAATATTCGTATTACTTAAACAATCGTAAAATAACTAAGATTTTTTTTCAAATTATATTTGTTTTCTCTTTTTGAAAGCCAAAATTCAATTTTAAAAAGTATTTACCAATTAAAAAATTTCAAATCACTTCAAAATCTTTGTTTACTTTTAAATTAAAATTAAATTGAATTCTTTTAAAAATTAAGATGCTTTTACATAACTTCCTTTGAAAATTGAATTTTGAGTTGAATGGAACAGAATTTATCTATATTCAATGATTTCAATGAGAATTTGTTCTCAATTCAGTGAGTTTTATAAGTTAATATAAAAATTATTTCTTTAAATAAAATTTTTAATACAAGAATGAAAATAATTTTAAAAAAATATTTGTTTTATATTCAATACCGTTGAAAAATTTTGAATGGTAGTTGTCCATTTTATTAAAACAAACTGCTGTTGGAGATCGCGGTAGTATAATGAAAATTTTTGTTAGTTTGTTATTTTTTTTAATTTAGACATTTTGTGTCACTTAAGCTAAGATTTTAATCGCATTTATTTATGGGATCTTGAGTTTAATTTAAAGGATCTTCATTTTAGTCAAAATTATATAAATTTTTACATTTAAAATTCTCCATTCATAAATACATTTTCCTAAAGACTTGTCAAATTATTGAGTTAAATTTTCAATGTTTTAAACCTATACGTAAAAGCAATGTGGTTTAGTAATATTAAAAATTTATTTAAATAACGCTTAATTTCTCCAATATTTAATTACCAAAAGTTTTAAGTTTCCCAAAATTGAATTATTCATACATTTGTTTTAATTGATCACTTACAGTCATAAGAAGAGTAAATAAAACTGTACAGATTCACATCCACACACTTATATACATATACATATGTATACATAAATTCAATTATTATTTTGTTTATTAATAATAATAATATTGACATGTGATCAGATTAATGTAATCGCCTACATTAATTCTCATTATTTTTCTTCACTTCTACATTTTATGTATAGTATATCCATGAAATGAATATAGAATCACAGCAAAGAACCAATACTATTGAAAAAACAGTATGGTATACATATATAGTAATTATATAATTATAATTTTAAGTTACCAATCTCACGCTGTTAATAGTAAAAGCAAACTGTTTTAAATGTGCTATGAATATTGATGAGTAATAAGTAGAAAAAATAAAATCTGGTGAATATAGATAATATTAAAAGAATTATAGTACGTTTCTTCCTACTTTTTTGGATTTCCATTCTAAATTTTAGATTAAATATTGGTAACTCAAAATTTTTTACTTATAGAAATTGTAATTGATATTTGAAGATTGTTGCGGTTTAATTTACTCATTTTAATTAAGGTGATATTTAATATGAGATCCCATATTACCGGTAGAAAATTTTAGTATTGTTTGATTTAAGAAAAGCAAAATGAGATCTTTAAGTGCATTGACTTTTAATTAATTATTAAAATATTTAATGTTGTAATCGTAATTATAGTAGAAAATAAGTTATATTCGTGTTAATGAAAATTTGTTTACAAGAAGTTTCAAAACTAAGTGACTTAAATAGCAACAGGAGCTATTACTACGTAATTTGATTTTAATTTGGAAAAACGGTAAGGTAGCACCAATCAATTTGTATGTTACTACATTTCCATTTCTGCAAATACGGGAATCGTTTTACGAAAGCAGAATTACATAGTAAAGCTTCACGGTTTAAATTTCATGCTATTTCTATAAAAGTGATTTCTAGAAGAATTTGCAATTATTTAGGAAATAAAATAAATTTAAATGACATGAAATTTTAGAAGATTTCAATGTTTTTTTGAAAGATCCTTAATTTAATATTAATCTGTGATAAAATTCGAAAATTTAATCGAGTTATAGTGTACACACACGAACATTAAAAGAATAATTTTTAAAAGAATGACCAATCACTTTTTTTCATTTAAAAGGTTTAATCAATATTCAAGTCAGGTTAAAATTATAAATCTTATTAAATTGAAATTGATTTAAATAAATTTTGTGACTTTTTAAGAATTATCTTTAAATTTAATACATTGTATCTAATACGCATTTTAATTTGAATTATATAAGACGAATGGAAATATGTGATTTAATAAAATTTTCTAATGATGTAAAATCAAAATTTTTGACGTATTTACTTGCGTCAATTATTCTTATATAACAAGAGTAAATTAATATTTAAAACACCTTCAATGGTTATAAAATTTTGATTATTATCAAAATATATACATGTGATGATAACAACAATTCATGTATAACGCTATAATTTAAATCATACTTCTATTTAAAAATATATTTGGGAGAAATTATAATTTTTCTGAGAATAACAATATTATTCTCAATAATTAGTAAAGAAATTATTAAATTGAAATCTTAATAATGAATTTGGCATTGTCAATAACAATAGTAATTAACATCCAATTATTTTATTCAATTCATTGGTATTTAAACATAATATTATATTATATTATGTCCGGTACTAGAAACAGAAATTTATTAAACAAGTATCGTTGATTTTCTTATTGCATACGTAATCTGGTTATTAAATCCGATTAATAAATTGCTATATATATTCAGTTTAAGAATAAATTTTTGATTACGTAGAACTTAGAAATCATATTACTAAATTGGAGAACAATTAAAAATTTGCAATTGTCATTATTAAAAGTTGTGTCATTGGGTAAATTAACTGGTCCACGCCTCAAACTAATATCAAACAATGAAATCGTAATAATAGATATGAAAAAATTTTATTAAATTTACACACATTTGTTTTCATAATACCCATTCATTTCATAATACCCCTTTACGTATGCAATGCGTTCAATATGTAATATATGTAGATTTTAAAGTTTTTTTTATTACAAAATTTTAACAAATTCTAATCAATTCAAACATATACAAAAATTTCATTAAAAAATATTCTATTCAAATTACATTTCTCTATATTATTCAATTTTAAAATGTTGGCTAAGTTCAGGGTAAAAGTGACAATACTAGAAAATATTAGATAATAATGACAAATTAAAATTTTAAAATACACACACACACATATACCCCAGAACAGTTATACCATATTTTATTTATTTACCCCCTTATATATATAAGATTAACATTTATTGCTATTAATTATGTATATCTCTATATATAAGATTATTAACTTATATTATTATTATTATTATTACCATAAAATAACCCAACAAATAATTAATGATTATTGAAAAAAAAAAAATAATAATTAAATTAGTAAATGAGTGTTTATAAAAGAAAAAAAATTTAATTATTATTTGTACACTTTAATAATATATGTATTTATTTAAAATTATAAAATATTATTACACCTTATTAAAATCAGTGTCGGAGTAAACATTTAAATTAAATTTTCGATTCCATTATCGATTCAAACCATCGATTATTTCCTTTTTATG